ATCAGGGAAGTCTTTAAATAAGCGAGGCAGCTTTTCCTTCTCTAGGGCGGGGAGGAAGTCTGAGGTTGACAAAAACCACCGCCACTGGTGGCTGACCAGCTTGTGGGGGCTGCTGCTTACGGGCTAAGGCACCCAACCGAGGCCCAGGTACCCCCGGGGATGCTGCAACATTTCTCTCCTCTTCCCGCTGGGTCAGGGTCCCTCCCATCTTGAAAGAGTCATCTGCCAGCCTTGGAAGGCAAGAGGATGGCGAGGCCAGAGGTGAGGGTGGGGTGGGGGGTGGGAGGGGGAGATGATGGGGGAAAGAACATTCCGTAATAGCAGGAGCCTGGCGGTTAACCACCCTCCTTACCCCCTACCCCAGAGCTCCTGCTCCCCGCCCTCCCGCCCAGAACACACTGCAACAACCCCAGGAGGAGGGGACGGAAACACTTCTGTTAGGGGGAAGCCAAACAATCTGCCCCAGGGCCCACAGCCAGTGAGAGAAAATTCGGAGGGAAGCTGCCTGGCCCAAAGCCCCCTCTTCTTGCAACGACCTCTTTGAACACCACCCTGGGCGGACCTGGCTGGACGCTGGGCAGGGAGCTCAGCCCAGTGTTACTCAATGAGAAAAACAAATTTTAATCCTGCCTTTTAATACACACTGACACAAATGTGTTCTACGACCAAGTTTCTCTGTGCGAGCACTCTGGTGGTTTCCATTTTATTCTATTCCGTTGCTTAAATGACAGATAGCAGCCCGTTAAAGGACTCGGGGAGTCACCAATGAGCTGAGTTTGAAAGGGACACAAGTATTCGGAGGACAGGCCTGGTCTATTTCCCTGGGGTCGGGAAGGGATTGCCAGAGAGGAGACAGCCCTGCTCAAAGTATGTGATATCAGCCATGTTAATTGGGAAGCGTAAGTCATGTTATTTTATTATGAAAGCATAAAGAAAATGAAAACATACCAAGAAAAAAACAGTTATTCAGACAGAAACGAAGACCTATCACCATTTTGACCGAGTCATCCGGGCAACTCCCAACCCCAGCGTCTCAGCAATGCTTTGGCCGGGAAAAGATGGGAAGAACCGAATTCAGGACGCCCCTCTCCCCTGCCTCACTGCAAAGCAGCCCACGGAGAGAGGTCCTCCCCAGCCACAGTCTAACCAGTGCCTCTCAGCCCTGGCTACACTTTGGAACCACCTGCAAGCTTTTAAAAAACCCAAGGCCAGGGTCCCAGGCCCCAAGATCATGATTCAGTTGGTCTGGGGGTGGCCTGGGTGCTGGGACCTCCCATGTGCAGCCGCAGGTGAGCACCAGCACTGCAAGTAAACCCTGAGCCTCACAAGAAATGAGCAAAGGGCTACCGCGATGGCTAAGCACACTGGCTGCCAGGTTCCCCAGATGTGGCTGGTAACACGCGTCATCTAAGAGGAGGATGAGGCGAGCTGATGGCCAAGAACCCAGAGAACAACCTTGTACGTTGTTCCAGGTGGCAACTTTACTTTAGCCCGGACCTGGTTCAGTGAGCAGCTCTGATCGCCACAATCTGAGAAGGAGTATCAGTGTTCCCATTTCACAGAAGAGGAACTCTGAGGCACAAGGAGATGGGCTCTGCAGAGCTGCCTACGGGTGAGACAGGTCTGAAAAACCCCACCAGTTCTTCCTACGACACCATCATTTTCCCCTCAGACACCAGGGCAGCTGGACAATTCAAAAGCTCCTAAAAGCAATTGATTAAAACAATTTTTTTAAAAACACAATTAACTCCAGAAGGGTAAATTACTAAAAGGAACTTGTCCTTTGACTCAATAGAAGTTCAACTGCTACAGGTGGTCCTGGCCCAATATTCCCCAGCTCTTGCCAGCTCCTGGTACTGGCAGGCCTCTGTGCCCCTCCCCTGTCCAGGGAGTTATTCCCCCTCCACCTCTCCTTGGCTCTGCACCCCCATTCTGTGAGTCTGCTGTTTCTGTGCCTTCAACCCCTCCCCTCACCCCACCAGCTCCCTGGCTTCAGTCAGACCCCCTGTACAGCCCCCATCCCCAGCTTGTCATTCATCCCAGTGAATAGACCTTTACCCTAGATCTATTTCTTTCAGCTTTGTGAAAACGTGAGCAAAAGCAAAGGAATTCACGATAATCCCAATATACCAGACTTCTTATTCACCTAAGGTCTCTTTCTAATTATAATCAAAGACGGCAGACAATTCTGTATTTTATTTCTCCTGCTAGTTATGTGCATAGACTTATGCCTTTTTTAATGGCCAAGAAACTGCACCAAGAAGTTAATGCTCTCACTACGGAATCTGATTTCTCTTCATTTTTAGCACGTTTATCACCAATTTCAAGACCACATTTCTCCATAGGACAAAATAATGGCACATCTCCTATCAATGGCGCCTGACGGGCTATGGAATAGGGTGCTAGCAATTAGTCTCCTTTTTATGGGTCATTTCCTTTTAAGAGATATGACCAGGTTTGATGAGGAACACTGTCATGATTCTGGACACACAGTATTGAATTTTTGTCCAGAACAACTGTAGGGGTGATCCTGCCCCTCACTAGGTATGAGCTGGTTTCACCACAGAATAACCAGCACCACAGAATAACCACCACAGAATAACCAGCACAGAATAACCAATGTTTTGGCTTTTTTGGTTTGCCTGCTTTCACAGGGAACTACAAATGACAGAAAGCAGGAATTGTGTTTCCATTGGCCTTTGATGAATGACAATCGCTGGAACTCCTGGAGTTCCTCACTCCGCGGTGGCAGGCACTGTACATCCAATACCCAAGTACACGGGGAGGACTGTTGACCCCACTCATGGCCAAGCACAAGGAGGCTCAGGGAGGTTCAGAAACTGGTCTGAGGTCACGCAGCCCACCATGGGCGGAGGCAGGATTGGAATCCAGGCTGTCCACCCACTGGAGCCACAGAGCAGCAGGTGGTCTACTAGTGTCTCCCAGATTGGCAGAGAGTCCGCTCTGGCACTAGGGTTCTCCCTCCTCCATCACCGCCCTTACCCATCCCGCTCTGCTCTGTGGAGCTCTACAGGAGAGCCTGCTTCCTGGTGTTTGTCTATCCTGTTCCTGCCGCTAGAAATGCCCTTTCCTTGGATTCCATGAGTTCAAATCCCAAGACCCCAGCTGAAAGGCTGCCTCTTCTGCAGAACTTTCCGTGACCCTCCAAAGGAAAGCGGACTTTCTCCTCTGAACATCAGTCCCCCATTCTGCATACACTCCAGGGCCATTGTCGCCCCAGGTTCTGGGCACTTCACTCACAAATCCCTCCCACCCTGTTGGTCCCTGCCAGTTTCCTGCCATGCCCCTAACTCCCTTCCCACCTTGCCCTGCTCCCGGCTCCCTTCTGGCCTCTGCATGGGCCACTTCTTCGCTACAACACCCTCTCGGTCATCCCTCAGCACCTGGTTACCTACTCCAGCCCTCCAGGTGTCAGACAGAGAGGCCTGTGATCTGATGAGGTCTGGAGGCCCTTCTGATCTCAGTGGTCCCAGGGAGGGATCCACATGAACCATGGCCACTCCTTAATGGCTCTGCAAGCATGCCCCTTCACACACACTGTTTTGTGACTTGACAGGGATCTTCCACTCAGCGGGAGAGGAAGCCACAGGCAGGCAGGGACCAGAGTCTGCTGTACTGCTGGTACAGCCTGCCGGCTGGGGTTGGTGCCAGGACACAGCTGGCATTGATAAACATTTGTCAGGTGAAGGAATGGCTGAGGGGAGGAATCTGCCCCAGAGAGCCCTTGTTGCCCCTGCAATCCTTCTCTGCTCCCTTCCTGCCAGGAGCTCCTTGCCCGGGAGACCTAGCCTATCTTTGGGATAGACTGTGTCTGAAAAGCATACAGGGCACCATCACTAGTCCGTACTTAGGGCGTGGAAGGCAGGCAGCATGGGTCTGGGCCTCTGGCCAGCTGTGTGACCTTGGGCAAATCGATAACCCTTGCTGTGCTTCGATCTCCCTGTCTGTAAGAGTGGGAAAGAAGTAACAGCACTTAATGCACTGGGTTGTGGAGAGGCTTAAACAACCAAACATACAGAAAGCGCTGAGCACATACCTGGCACGGAGTGGGTGCTCAGCGGGTGTTCTTGCTACGATTGCTAATGCTTCTCCTGCTATATTTCATTGAATTCCAAGAGGAACATTTCCCCCAGATTCCAACTTTTCTGAAATCAGAATTGGCAGCACACAGCATGGGCCGCTTCCCCTGCCACACTCTAAACAGCCTTAAAATCCAAATGATTCTTACCACTAAAAGGGCATCACTATCAACCCATGACCCTGCTTCTTGGACACTCCCTGATCACCCTGCTGCTACCCTAAGCCCCCAGCTCTACCTGCTAGGCCCCCCGGAACCTCCCAGGGAACAACTAAAATGGAAGCCACATTTCCTTTCTACCTTGTCCTCACCCTTCATAACAGATGTCCCCCCAAACCCAACAACCCTGCACCCCAGAGTTTAATAGTTCTGCTTGGGATGATCACATGATACAGGAGGCAAAGCCAGGGTGAAATCCTATTTCTGCCACTTCCTACCTGTGTGATCTTGAGCAAGTGGCTTTACTTCTCTGTGCCCAAGTGTCCTTCTCTGTAAAATGGGCAGGAGGGAAAAGCCACTTAGGGCCTCGGTATCAGCCTAGCATTTTGAGATCACGGTCTCCTCAACTCTTCCCGACAAGCCTTCGGGAACAAGGGTAATTTTCTCTCCCTTTTCCAGATAAGGAGACAGAGGTCTCAGCGAGGTGAAGGTCCGGGTCTCATGACACAGGGTTATTATCAAAATGCAGAGGTGGGATTTGAAGGATCTGATTCAGATTACTGGGGTATCTTGAGGTTTGTGAATTCCTGCTATAGTTTTCACTTTTGTGACTGAATGCTTCGGGATAGCAAAAGCATCCCAAACAGGTATTTTCCCTTTATCCTGTTTGAAACACCAAACAGAATGGTCTTCAAGCCTGGGGAGGTCCTTTAACACCGCTGGGCCATCAGAAATAATTTACCTTTTCATCCCAGGCAGCCATCTTCCTGTCCTCTCCGGATCTGGAAAATAAGAAAACGTTTGTCTAGATCTGATATCCTGCTATCATTTATCTTAGTGTGTGCTTTGCGACACTCTGTTACAAATTATTTTTTAACTCGCTTACATTAACAGTGTCTGAAAATAGCATAAAGCTCAAAGTTTATGTAGAAGGATGCACATCCTTGGTATATATCCAAAAGAAGTGAAAACAGCCACTCAAACAAATGCATATACAAAAATACTCTTAGCCAAAAGGTGGAAGTAACCCAGGTGTCCATTAGGGGATGAATGGATGAATGAAAGATGTTGCATCCACACAATGGCATGTTACCCAGTCTTAAAAAGAAATGAAGTCCTGACCCATGCTATAGCATGAGTGAACCCCTAGAACAGGACACTGAATCAAAGGAGCCACACACAAAACTTCACATATGACATGATTCCACTGATATGTAACACCCAGAATATGCAAAGCCACAGAGACAGAAAGCAGACTGGTGGGTGCTAGGGACTAGGAGGTGGTGGGGGGGATGGTGATTGACTGCTTAACAGAGGCAGGGTTTCCTTTTGGTTTGATGAAAATGTTCTGAAACTGGATAGAGGTTGTCGTTACGTGACATCAGGAACGCACTAAATGCCACTGAACTGTTCAGAGTTGTAAAATGGTTAATTTCATATTATGTGAATTTCACTCCAGTTTAAACTTTAAAAAAAAAAAGACCCATAGACATACATTAAAGTGTATATGTAGGGGCGCCTGGGTGGCTCAGTGGGTTAAAGCCTCTGCCTTCAGCTCAGGTCATGATCCCAGGGTCCTGGGATCAAGCCCTGCATCAGGCTCTCTGCTCAGTGGGGAGCCTGCTTCCCCCTCTCTCTCTGCCTGCCTCTCTGCCTACTTGTGATCTCTCTCTCTGTCAAAAAAAAAAAAAAATGTATATGTAAATATATATTACAGCATAATATATACAGTATGACCCAATCTGTGAAAAATTACATATGCATTTTTAAAAATAAGTCCGTAAAGATATAGCCAAACTGTTTACAGTGGTTATTGTTGGACAAAAAGGGAGAGGTTGAGGGGACCGATTTTTGTAGGTATTTTCCTTCACTTCCTGGAAGGTCTGACCCTTTACAATGAGTATGTATTAGTTCTTAAAATTTATTTTTAATGTAGGTGACACAGGTATGTACCAAAAAACTGAAACAATTCAAAAAGATACACTGTGACTAGTAAGCTTCCTTTCTACCCATTCTTCCCAGAAAGAGCCACTCTTAGCAGTTTCCTGTGCGGTCTTTAGGGGTATTCTATGCCTTTGCAAGCACATCCATATCTACTCCTTTTCTCTTCTTTAAACTTCAACAAATGTGGGACGCCTGGGTGGCTCAGTTGGTTGAGCAGCTGTCTTTGGCTCAGGTCATGATCCCAGCGTTCTGGGATAGAGTCCCACATTGGGCTCCTTGCTCGGCGGGGAGCCTGCTTCTCCCTCTGCCTCTGCTGCCACTCAGCCTGCCTGTGCTCGTTCTCGCTCGCTCTCTCTCTCTCACTCACTCTCTCTGGCAAATAAATAAAATCTTAAAAATAAATAAATAAATAAACTTCAACAAATGTGAGCCGACACACACACTGCTCCAAACCTTGCTTACTTCCCTTTAGGGTGTGGCAAGCTCCATAATGAACCCCCTCCCTCCAAAGGTGTACCTGTCCTACTCCCCAGAACCCGTGAATATGTCACTGTACATGGCAAAGGGGACTTTGCAGATGCGATTCAATTAAGGCTCCCAAGATGGGGATTAGCCAGGTGGCCCCAATGTCATCAGAAGGCTCTTTTTGAATAGAGCAGGAGCATCAGAGACAGAAGGACATGTGAGTGCAGGAGCAGAAACTGGAGTCCGAGATTTGAAGATGTTACTCAAATATGCTACTGGCTTGAAGACCAAGGGAAGGGACTGCAATCCAAGGAATGTGGACAGCCTCCAAAAGTTGGAAAGGAAACAGGTTCTCCCTTCGAGTGTCCAAAAGAAATGCAGCTTGGGGGCGCCTGGGTGGCTCAGTGGGTTAAGCCTCTGCCTTTGGCTCAGGTCATGATCTCAGGGTCCTGGGATCGAGTCCCTCATGGGGCTCTCTGCTCAACAGAGAGCCTGCTTTCCCCTCTCTCTCTGCCTACTTGTGATTTCTCTGTGTGTCAAATAAATAAATAAAATTTAAAAAAAAAAAAGAAAGAAAGAAAGAAATGCAGCCTGGCCACACAACACCTCGATGTTGGCCCACTGAGACAGAGTGTGGACGTCAGATCCCCAGCATTGTAAGGTAATACATTTATGTTGCTTTATGCCATCCAATTTGTGGTAATTTGTTATAGTGGCTATTGGAGACTAATACAGTATTTCCAATTGTTCTAGATCAGTACGCGCTAGACTGAATGCACTCCTTGGAATGACTCCACAAGGTTTCCCTGGAGGAATGTGTGTAGTAGTCCCACTAGTGATCAGAATTTGGATTACTTCCCAATCCTTTGCTGCCCCAATGTTCTAATGAATAACCGTGCACACCGTGTGCTTTGATAATTTAAGAAAAAATTATCAATTGGAAAAAATGTTCATAAAGACTTAAACAAAAAAATGAAGTTCTTTCTCTCCTCAGTAGCATGGGTTGCAGGCACAAGGGCCTCTCAGAGGGTTTCTTGCTGGTCGACTGGCAGGATGGCTTCTGCAACCAGCAGAGTTCAGCTAGCTCAGTATGTTCCTGTTCTAGCCCCTGGGGGCCCTCACCCTGCTCTCATGAGACGGGCTCAAGTGGAACCTTTAGCACAGGCAAAGGTGAAGGGAGCTGTTAAGGTGCCCTAGAGATTTCCTTCCTTTACAAGACAGGAAATAGAAAGAGCACATTTATAGAAAAACAACCAGCTTCACTAATTCAAGCAACAGAAAATTTAAAGATACATACATGACCTCTCCATTAAACTAGACAAAACAAAAGTGATAAAACTCAGTGCTTGTGGGGCTGTAGGGAAACTTGCACACACTGCCAGGCATTGTTTTTCCCTAACAGCCCTCTGGTGATAAGTGGCAAGTGCCTTCAAAATAATCATACTCTTGACTTGAACACATCAGTTTGGGAGCTATTATTTCAAATCATTGGGTACCAAAACACAGGTGCAGTGTGGACAAGCTACTTTGGATATGACAGCTAGAACCTGGAAAGACCCCACAAGCCCCACTTTAGAGAACAGCTGAGAAAGGCAGTGGGCTATTAGAAGGAATAACAATTCTGAGGTCTATGTAGAAATACAGAAAGAAGTCTGTTAAGCAATGACAAGTAGAGCTCTGATGGTTGCGCACATGACTGGCAATTGTACAACAAAATTGGAACATTTACTACATGCCAGGCACTGTGCTGGGTTCTGGGTGGGAATCCGAAGTGATGAAGAAAAAGGTCAGGGCACTGGGAGAGAGATACTTTAGCTGGGTAGACAAACAGGGAACCAGGGAAACACGTAAGCAAGGTAAGATCCCCTGAGGCTAAGCATGGGAAGAAAGAGAAGGAGTAATGGTAATGCAGGAAGAGAGCAGGCGAGTGGGGCTCCTGCAGATGCAGTGGTCAGGGAAGACGTGAGAAGGCGAGAAGACGACTTGGACAGCAGTCACTGAGTTGCAAAGAGGTAAGTCACAAGAAGATGGCAGGGAAGAATATTCCCTGGAGAAGGAAGACCGTGTGCACAGGCCCCAAGGGGACAAAAACAAAGAAACAAAACCCCGGCAAGTCCAAGGAAGAAAGAGGAGGTCAGTGGGTCTGCAGGGAACATGAGGTGGGAGGACCCAGACAGGACACAAGACTCTGACCTTGCAGAGGGCTTGGGAGGCAATGCTGAGGATCTAGGGGTCAAGAGTGGTGGCTGGGAGGCCAAGAGGAGGCAAAAGATGATGCAGAGGGATGGCCAGATTCAGAACATGCCGAGGAGCAGAACCTGCTGCAGGCTCAGATGTGGGGGGAGGAGATGAGGAGCAGGTTTGGGGCAACAAGAGTCTGGGCTTCCTCCTTCTCTCTAAACCTGTGATCACAGAGGGCTTGGGGACCTCGGAGTGGTTCTGGAATTGTGCAAGCGTCAGCCCAAAGATTTTCAAAATGCTGCCCCTACTAGTCTTTCCCCCAGGGACTCAAGAGTTTGAGAAGTTGCCTCTGGCAGCCTTGGCTTACTCAAGAAGCTGTCCGGAAATAGTGCAGATCTCGAAGAGCCCTGACTGACCCGAGGTTAAAGGTGTCAGGCACAGAGGTGTGCTTTCAGAGGGACAGGGAAGAAGCTGGAGGGCGTGGGGGGAGGGGCGGTGGGCATAGCTCTGTGGTAGCCTTGAGCAAGGTGCTGGACTAAGCCTTTATACCAAGTGTCTCACTTCATCTCAGCAGTGCTGTGCGGTAAGTACCATGCTTAGCCCCGGGGACAGTCAAGGGAATGGAGTGATGGAGAGATGAAGCCCCACGGCTGCAGCTGTAAGGGCCCCTGCCCCAGCAGAGGTGGTGGGGAGAGGTCTGTAAGTTCCGGGGGGGGGGGGCAGCACCTCTGCGTCCCGGAGTTTAACCTGTCTCCAACCCACCATTCTCTTTCCTCAGCACACCTTGCCCCAAGACAGGAGTGGTTAAAAGTATTCCCAGGTGGGGCGCCTGGGAGGCTTAGTCAGTTAAGCAGCTGCCTTCTGCTCAGGTCCTGATCTCCAGGTCCTGGGATGGAGCCTCACGTCGGGCTCCCTGCTCAGCGGGGAGACTGCTTCTCCCTCGGCCTCTCGCCCTGCTCATGCTCTCTCTCTCAAATGAATAAATAAAATCTTGGGCGGAAAAAAAAAAAAAGTATTCCCAGGTGAAGGGCTTGCGGCCCTGGCGGTTGTCTCATCTCAGCCTCCTCCTGGGATACCCAGGACTACCTTCATCCTCATTTCTCCCCCGAAGTCTTCCTGGGTGGGGTGGGGCAGGGAGGGGCAGGGATGGTGAATAAAAGGATTTAGGGGTTCACACAGACCTGGGTGTAAGTTCTGACTCTGCCTGCTTCGGCCAGGTGATCCAAGGCAAGTGGCTTGGCCCGAGATTCCGCGTCTTCACCTGTAAGACGGAGACAAGCATGGTACTCACCGCACCTGTTGCTGCCCTCAGCGGGTGATGAAGGCACCTGTCTCCAGGGTAAGCCCGGGACGAAAGGGTAGTTCTTACCAATGCTCCCGTTTTCAAGGGGAGGTAACTGAGGCCAAGAGGGGCTTCCCTCCCAGGTCCCGTGGCACCAGGCCTCCTGCCCTGTTCCTCCGGCTGACTCTAGTACTCCCTGAACAGGGCAGGGGGTCCCCGGGGGAGTGTCAGTTCGCCCGCGCCGGCCGGCGCTGTTAGACGCTGGAACAGAGGGCAACTGGGGGCGGGGTCCCAGGCAGGCTGGAGGGGGCCGAGGTGGGGGTGAGGGTCCGCTCCTCGGAGGGCTCTGGCTGGGAGGGCTTGGGAGAGCGCCTACAGCCGGCGCGGCCCCGTCCCAGCCGCGGGGCACTTACCCTGCGCCCCTCCCGACGGCGGCCACCGCAGCAACTGCGAGCTCGGCGCCCGCGGAGCCGCCCGGCCCCTCCCTCCTTCCCTTCTCGCCCCTCCTCCTGACCCCCTCCCCTCCCCCCAGCCCGCCTTCCACCCCTGCGCCGCCACGGTCCGGGGCTCTTGCCTGTGTCTCAGGGCCCTTGCCCTGGCCCGTCTGTCTCACCGTTGGTCTCCGGCTCGCCCCCCTCCCCCGCCTCCTCCCGCTCCGTAGGCCCGGGCGTGGCGGGGCCTCCTGCGCTCCTGCAGATGGACAAAGGTCCCGCCCGTGGGAGCCAATCGCGAATCACGAGAATCCGGTCCCAGGCTAGCCAGAGGGAAGGGGTGGGAGGAGGGAGCCACTTCCTTCCTCCTTCGGGATGGAGTGGGGGCGGGTCCACTCCCCTCCCCACCACACACACTCCCGGAGGCTGGGCCTGATGTCCAGTGGCACCCCTGTCCTGTTTACTTAGGGGAGGCTCTGCGTGGCTTTGCTTGTCCCCTGCACTGTATCTGCCATGCAGAGGTTGGAGAGTGGGCACAATGTCCTGAAGGCATGGCCAACCTTGAAGCCAGCAGGCCCGGCCACTCCTGAATGGGGGAAGGAGGTCTCCGTGCCAGAGGAAGGTGCCTTCCTGCCTGGAGGCTGAGCCCCCTTGCTCAGGCTGACTCCTCCTTACCTTCCGGGCCCAGCTTCAATGTCCCTCTCCTCCCGAGGTGCCCCAGCACTCTGCTCGCACTTCATTCCTGGCACTGTCCTGGAATCAGTTTCCATTAATTTCTGTCTTCCTAAAAAGACCATTTGTCCCAAACCTCAGGGTGGAGGAGGCCCTCTCCTTCACATCTCCCTGCTTCTGGTTTAGTTGGGGGCGGAAGGAGTCTCAGTCCTGGGAGCTGTATTAGTTTCCCATTGCTGCTGTGACAGGTTACCACAAACCCAGTGGCTTAAAACACAGATTTGTTATCTTAGGGCTCTGGAGGTCAGTAGTGCGAATGGTCTTAATAGAGCTAAAATCAAAGGTGATGGCAGGGCTATGTTCCTTCTGGAGGCTCTAGGGGGGGATTCTTGCCTTTTGGAGCTGCCAGAGCTGGCCTGCATTCCTCAGCTGCTGGCGGCTGCTCTCTGACCTCTGCTATCATCCGTCCTCCTCCACTAGATCTGACCCTTCTCCCTCCCTCCTGAAAGGACCTTGTGACGACATTGGGCCCACTTGGATAATCCAGGCTCCTCTCCCCTTCACTACATCCTTGATTAATCACACCTGCAAAGTCCCTTCCACCAGGTGTGGTAGCGCATTCACGGGTCCTGGGGAGTGGGATGGAGACATCTCTGGGGGGGCCTGTCTGTCGTCTGCCTATCGGGGTGGTATTGTTTCCATTGACTTCCATGGAGTCTGCTTTTCCCAATCCTGTCCCCCCCGACCTGTAGGGCAGTAGGCTCTCTTAAAAACATCTCCGTCTGGGGGAGCCTGGGTGGCTCAGTTGATTGTGTGTCGGACTCTTGATTTTTGGCTCAGGTCATGATCTCAGGCTCCTGGGATTAAGCCCCGAGTCAGGCTCCGCACGCAGTGGGGAGTCTGCTTGAGGATTCTCTCTCTCTCTCTCCCTCCCTCTCTGCCTCTCCCCCATCCTCCCCCCACCCACGCTCTCTCCCCTCTTAAAAACAAAAACAACTCAGTCTCATCTGACTTCTCGGTCACATTTTCTTATTGCAACATTCCTATTCCAGTCCTTAACCCCAGTCTGGCCCATTTTATTTTTTAAAATATTTATCTGGGGGGCGGGAGGGCCAGAGTCTCAAGCAGACTCTGGATCTCACAACCCTGAGATCATGACCCGAGCCGAAACCAAGAGTCGGATGCTTATCCGACTTTGCCACGCAGGAGCCCCCTATTCTGGTCCATTTTACACATCAATCTTGTTTTTAATTAACAATGTCCCTCCCCTACCAGTGCCCGCTGGACAGAGTGGAGGGTGTGTGCACTGGCCTGGTCTCTGCATTCACTCCCTCAGGACTGGGAAGAGGTGGAGAGAACAGGTATCAGGTATCTTCTCACCTAACTGCCCACCCCAGGGCTGCATCCCTCTTTCCATTGGCTCTAACAATTGCTTCTGCCTGCAGTTACAAGCTTAGTGCAGACAGCTGGTGGCCTCAACCGTGCCCCTGGCTTGATCTCTCATCATCCTTCCTATGTGCTGCCTCCCTGCCCGCTCTGCTGTGGTCCTGGGGAAGCCCACAGCTGCCAGCCTTAGCTGTGCCCTGAGCCTGCAACCACCAGCAGGGACTTATTTCCGTATTCTTGAGGAATCAGGCTCCTAAGAGAGCAGGTTATTTCCGTCCACAGAATGCCTCAGTCTCCTCAGTGGGACAGGAAAAGATCTCAATTTTGTCACATCGGGCACATGGTAAGTGCTTTACATCTCTACGGCATGAATTAATACATGAATATTGAGGATAAGGCTGCCCAGTGTCACTGCTTCTATTCAACATCATATGGAAGACCCCAGCTAATGCAGTGAGACAAGAAAGGAGGCGAGAAAAGAGGGACTCTCCCATCTGTGATCTATGTGATTATCTGCCTAGAAGATCCAAGAGGCTCAACAGAGCCATGTTGGATGCCTGCCGTGTGGTAGGCAGGCCCTTTCCAGACACTTAATATAAGATAAGCAGCTCCGTCCTCAGAGAGCTCCCATGTGAGTTGGGGAGGCAAGGCTCGGGCACGTTCCTCTATGGTCCAGAGAGTCTAAGAGGCTGGTCATTTAGGATAGGAAAAAATTACTTTACTTTCATCAGCTGAAATTGAACATTTCCTGCCATGATGAATGCAGGTAACAGCCCACACTTGTATTAGCAGTACCCACGGCTTTGTCGTCAATGAGATCACAGATGTCTTCAAATCACAAGACGGTTATTGCAGATATCCTAAAATCTAGGTTATATTCACCACTGCTTCAAAATTCCTATAGTTACTAAATCAGCTGTCAGTTCTCATATATTTATCACAATTTAAAAAATAATTCAGGGGCACCTGGGTGGCTCAGTGGGTTAAAGCTTCTTTCTGCCTTCAGCTCAGGTGGTGATCTCAGGGTCCTGGAATCGAGCCCTGCATTGGACTCTCTGCTCAGCAGGGAGGCTCCTTCCCCCTCTCTCTCTGCCTGCCTCTCTGCCTCCTTGTGATCTCTGTCTGTCAAATAAATAAATAAAATCTAAAAAAAAAATAATTCAATAACAGCATTTCAAGATAATGGGTTGTTTGTAATGCAAGGCATTCTATATTACATAGTTAAAAACATTACCCTGGACAAGAGGACCCATGTTGCAAAAAAGGATTAGGAACTCCCGCTTTAGAGGAAGGACTTGTCCTCTGGTTTGAGCAATGCCAATGCAGTCCTCTTGCACAAGGGAGTCCCTGCCCCCCACTGCACATTTCTTATCAAGCAGTAAGCCCAGCTTGCTCAAGGACGAGTCTGTCACTGTCCCAGGAGCTTTCTGGGAGCCCGCCTTTTGATGTTCGGGGAACATTCTGAGGAAGGTCAGAGCATGGGCCCTAGGTCTGGCCTGCTTATGCCCCAGGAGAGCTGGGCCAGGGCATGGGCTCATTCTGGCTTGACACAGTGGGAGAAAGGGCTGCCTCTGCTGGTTTTGTTTCCTCTGGGCCAGTGTTTTCAGCTGCTGCAGTTGACTACTTCCCTTTCTAGGGCAAAACCCTGGTCCTGGCTCTAGGAGAATTCGAGGAAGGAGAAAGGAGGAGAGAGAAGTCCGTGAGACCTCAGCCGGGGCCCTGTTTAGAATTTTCCAGAGTTACATCTGCTGTCTGGGTCCAGAGGCTGCTTTGCCAGCAAGTGTGATTCATCTAGAGCAGGTGACAGCCACACAAGCCTGGTGTACCTGTACATGATCACGTCGCTACATTAAAGGGTCATGGCTAACTCTGACCCCCTCCTCTGATACTTGGTTCAAGCTTCTGCTTTATACATAGTTCAGAATCACATGGAGGAGTAGAAAGGAGTCGTCATCAAAGAGATCTGGCTTTAAATCCTGCCTCTATCCCTTCCCTTGCTAGCTGATGTTCTTTCCTTAATTGAGCAAGTAGCGTCCGAGTGCCAACTATGAGCTAAGCACTGAGAACACAGAGGTGAATGAGACAGAGCCCACTTCCTCTCAAGGAATTTACTCTCTGTAGGGAGGCACACAAAGACCCAGTGGTGGTATTATGAAAGAAATGACCAGGGGGTTATAGCAGAGAATTACAGTGCTGGGGAGAGAGAGGGGGTCCCATTGAGGTAGGAGGGTTGGGGAAGGCCTCTCTGTGGCATTTAAATTAACACTGAAAACTGAGGGAGAGCTGATCATGAAGGGAGAGGAAAGCCTTCTACCTAGTGGGAATAGTATGTGCAAAGGCCCTGAGGTGGGAAAGAGCCTGGCTTGGTGAAAAACCAAAAGGAAGCCAGAATTATGCCAACACAGTGGGAGGGGCAGAGAGTGGGGAGAAGTAGGTCAGAGAGGAGAGCAGGGGACGACAGGAAGAACTGGAGTTCATGCGAAGTGCAAG